CTGGATGGGCAAATATTTGGGAGCTGAGTAGCACCAACACTAATGCTACATTGCAAAATTTAGTATTTATCTCACCGACTCCAGCTGAGAAGTGTCAATAAAACAACATCTTCCACTGATAGTCCAGCTGCCCCACTGACAGTTATTCAGTTAATGAATCAGGATTTCTAAAACACATTTTGAAATATACTTCATATGTACTGACTGAGTTTTTTAAGGTATTACTCTGATCAGTGCATTTTCTTTTAAGGCTGACACTCTAGCTCGGACCCCTGTGCTCTTTGCACATCAATGGAAGTTCCAGCTGGAGTCTCAGCTCCACTTCAAAATTGCTTTGGCTTAGTTTTGTATCGTGGCTTCTCTCTTTTTAAAATGATCTGACATTTGATAGGACAGTGTGAGGGTTCAGAAACATTTTCTGTAAATCAGAATAAATTATGTGGCCATACAAGAAGAACAGCAGAAAGAGACATTTTTGTGGGCTAAGTCATTGCAGCTGGGATGGTGCAGAATGCTGACTCCACTTTTCTTGTCCAAAGAAGAGGGGAGGAAGGGAGAGTCAGCATTGGGCATTCTGTTGCCTGTCATTGTAACTAGCAATGCTCTAGCCAGTTTACTGCTGGGTATTTCAGACTCTGTTTAATACTCACATCCATCGCTGGCAGTAACAGACTCCTAATGTGGGCTCTTAGTCACGTAGTTTTAGGTTAAACTTGCTGAGGCGTTATGCTAAACTTAATTTATGAAAGTTTCTGTTTAGAAGTAATTCTGTATTTATAGTGTACTTCAGAGGAGATCCACACAGGATTAATCTACTTCCCAAATCCTCATGTGGGGGTTGAACCTGTGAGGTGGAGAGTGCCTCTGGGAAGTGCTGACGTCTGTGGTCCCATCAGGCCTGATCAAAACCTGTTGAAGTCAGTGGAAAGATTTACTTGAACCTTAGTCCAGACCCTTTTCAGGAGGTATTCAGCCGCTCACATGATCAGGTCCACAATGAAGGTCCTGGGGCTAAATGACTCTGATGTAACTCCATTCAAGAGAATGGAAACTGAGAGAACTGAAGAAAGAAATCCACTGACTTCAGTGGCGGTGATGTATCACCTCCACTGAAGTCAGTGGATTTCTATCAGGGATTATTATGCTTAAGGCCCTACCAAACTCATGGCCATGAAAAATGGGTCACGGATCGTGAAATCTTCTCCCACGAAATTGGGTCTTTTGTCTGCTTTTATGCTATACTATACAAATTTCACAGGAGAGACCAGTGTTTCTCAAATTGGGGGTCCTGACCCAAAAGGGAATTGAAGGAGGGTTGCAAGGTTATTTTAGGGGGGGTGCAGTATTGCCACCCTTTCTTCTGTGCTGCCTTCAAAGAGCGGTGGCTGTTGGCCGGATGCCCAGCTCTGAAGGCGGCGCCCCGCCAGCAGCAGCGCAGCAGTAAGGATGGCATGGTATGGTATTGCCACCCTTACTTCTGCGCTGCTGCCTTCAGAGCTGGGCAGCTGGAGAATGGCAGCTGCTGACTGAGGGCCCAGCTCTGCAGGCAGCAGCACAGAAGTAAGGGTGGCAATACCCAGGGCCTGCTCCAGGGTTTTTGCCACCCCAAGTGGCAGGCGGGGAAGGAAACGCGATCGGCGGCATCTCCACTGTGCCGCTTCATTCTTCAGCGGCAGTTCGGCGGCAGGTCCTTCCCGAATTGCTGCCGAAGAACCGGACGTGCCGCCCCTCTCCGCTGGCCGCCCCAAGCACCTGCTTGCTGCGCTGGTTTCTGGCGGCCCTGGTAATACCATACTATGCCATCCTTACTTCTGCGCTGCTGCTGGCGGGGCGCCGCCTTCAGAGCTGGGCACCCGGCCAACAGATGCCTCTCTCCAGCTGCCCAGCTCTGAACGCAGTGCTGCCACCAGCAGCAGTGCAGAAGGAAGGGTAGCTGTACTGCAACCCCCACACAATAACCTTGTGACCACCCCCACACAACTCCCTTTTAGATCATGACCCCTACAATTACAAGGCCATGAAATTTCAGATTTAAATAGCTGAAATCATGAAATTTATGATTTTTAAAATCCCATGACCGTGAAATTGACCAAAATGGAGCATGAATTTGGTAGGGCCCTAATTATGCTCTATGATGTTTAACAGTGGAGGCTGGTAGCCTCTGAAAACGGAAAGGCAAACCTGACATGCCTCCTCTCAGATAGTCTGGTGGGAAGCTCCCATAGAAATATAGATGAAGTTTATCTCCCATCTGCTTTCAATAGTACTATTTTCTCTTGGTGGTGATCCCCTCTCTTTGGCAATCCAATCAGGTTAGATTCTGCCTAGCCTACTTACCCTGGCCAAGCTGCCTTTGTGGTTTATTTGTTTGTTTTTAGCTAGAATTATGCAAAAGGTTCACAAGAAAATCTGAAACTTGCTTGATTTTGCTTTCATTGGAATTTGCCAAGGGAAAAGGTCATTAACATTTATGGACTTTTCAGGTGAACATGGATCCAGTCAGAGTATTCCTTGGCTGGCTTATGGTTTTGCATAGTAATTTCCAATCAAAATGCAGAGCTCCTCATGACTTTGACTTGAGAATTTACAAAACTCAATGATCTGGCAAAATTTTGCTTTGAGATTTTGCGTTTGTTTAAAATTTAGGGGTGCAGATGCAAAGCAACATTGAAAGAAACATTACCCGATGTCAGGAATAAAGCCCTGTAGCTGCACCTGCACAGTCTCCTATCAACCAGACCCCTGATGGAATGCCCCATCTCATTAGCTGAGCAAGCTAGCAGGTTTGCTCTAAAGCCCAGCACCAGTTTGTCCATAAACTATTTGTCCATGGATGTGATAGTGCAGGGGTAGGCAACTTATGGCATGCGTGCCGAAGGTGGCATGCGAACTGATTTTCAGTGGCACTCACACTGCCCGGGTCCTGGCCACCAGTCTGGGGGGCTCTGCATTTTAATTTAATTTTAAATTAAGCTTCTTAAACATTTTAAAAACCTTATTTACTTTACATACAACAATAGTTTAGTTATATATTATAGACTTATAGAAAGAAACCATCTAAAAACATTAAAAATATTACTGGCATGTGAAACCTTAAATTAGAGCGAATAAATGAACACTCGGCACACCACTTCTGAGAGGTTGCCGACCCCTGTGATAGTGTCTGTATCTGCTCATTGAATCCCAGACCTCCTCCAGGTAATCTGGTTCTGACTCTGGGCTCTAATTCCTGATTTCTACTCTGAGCCTTGGCTGTGGTATCTGGCCTTTGACTCTGGTTCTGATGCTGGGTTCCTGGCTACTGACTCCTGCTCTAATGACTAGGCATATCTACCCACCGCCGAAATTGTTGACAACTCTAATTTTATCCACTTCATTGCTGTCTAAGGGCCTGATCTCAAGTCTGTTGAAGCCACTGAAAAGATTCCTCCTGATTTCAGTAGTGAGGGGAATGCTGACCTGGGGGTGCTGGGGCGGGGGAGGAGATTTAAAAAAAAAAGTTTCCAATGGAAGCCAAGATTCCACATAATGACATGACTCCAGGAACTGGGACTTTAAGAAGAAAACACTGCATTGATATCAGTCAGGTGAATTGTATTAGGAATCAGTCTGGCTGCAAACAATTGGTGTTTAAACATGATTGAAAAGCCAGTGTAGGAAAAGCCGAAGGGCATGTCTACAAAGGGAAATTGACCAGAATCTCTCTTTACTGTAACTATATGACCCCTATCACCTTAGTATCTGAGAACCTCACAATCTTTAGGGTTTATCTTCACAACACCCCTATGAGGTGAAGTACAATTTACCCGCATTTTACAGGTGGGGCACAGAAAGACTACATGACTTGCTCAAAAGCCCAGTGAGAATCTATGGCAGAGTAGGGAATTGAACCTAGATCTCTCTTATCCCAAACTAGTGCCCTAACCAATGGACATAGCTATTCCACGGTATTTTGCCACGTGGACACTATTCTGGAATAAAAATCACTTTATTCTGGAATAATTAGTGCATTGTCTGTGTAATAGAAAAACAACAGAAAGATAGCAAGTGCCAGACTGGCTCAGACCCATGGTTCATTTCATCCAGTATCCTGTCTCTGACCAGATGTTTCATAGGAAAGTCCCAGTTGGAGAGGGTTTAAACCCTGAAACATGTGGTTTAATATCCTTTCCAAAACTTTTGTTAGCATTAACTATTTAACTGTGGCTATTCATGTTATCCACAAAATGTCGTCCCTTTTCGAATCGACAAATTAAAAAGAAGCTCAAATGAATTAACAAGTCCTGTTAATTAGCGCTCATGACTTTTTGTGCCCTTTTTGTGAAGGCTGGGGCTTGCCAACCAATCCTGGTCATTAGTCTCTCTTTTGGATTAGGGCAGGGGTCGGCAACGTTGGCACGCGGCTCGCCAGGGTAAGCCCCCTGCCGGGCCGGGCCAGTTTTATTTACCTGCTGACGCAGCAGGTTCGGCCGATCGCGGCCCCCACTGGCCGCGGTTCGCTGTCCCGGGCCAATGGGGGCGGCGAGAAGCGGCGCGGGCGAGCGATGTGCTGCCGAACGTTGCCGACCCCGGATTAGGGGATGCCAAGGCAGCCTGCACAGGCACTGCAGCGCACGGCACTAACCACTTCCCTTCGCTGCAGCCCTCTTGTTTTGCCGTAACACAAGATGGCCGCTCCCTGTCCTAATCCAAGATGGCACCCCGAAACATTCTGTACGGACAGCCGCCGTCGCCATCCCATAGCTTGTCACCAGCGGGAACGTCTAAACTGGGTGACGTAAAGGACCCCTAGACCCACCCCTTGCCCCCCTCAAGACAGCAGGGGCCCCTGCCTCTTACTCCATCCATGTTTACAGATCCCTCCCCTTACCGGAAGTTACTGTTACCTCATAGGTCATCACAAGACTCCAATTCCCAGCAAGCCCCGCACCTTCAGCTTCTATTGGCTGGAAGAGGCAGGAAGTGACCGGGCTACGGAAGGTGAGAGATCAGAGGGGACGCCAGTCGCCAGCAGGAGCGAAGCCGGTCCTTGCTGAAGTCTGGTGGGGACAGGTATCCCGCTCCCTTCCTAAGGTGTGGGGGCGGGGCACCAGCCGTGTCTCTCGCCCGGGGTCTCTGGGGCTGCTCTCATGGGGCGGGGGGACCTGGGCTCGGGGCGAGTGAGGGGAATGCTGACCTGGGGGTGCTGGGGGGGGGGGGGGGGCTGGGGGGAGGAATGCTGAGC